AATAAATCTGCAAAAATGTCAACGATTCTGTGTTTTTCTGTCAATATGGGGTGCTGTGTGTACATTAATGAGGAAAAAAAATTAACTTAAATGATTTTAGCAAATGGCTGCAATATAACAAAGAGTGAAAAATTGAAGGGGGTCTGAATACTTTCCGTACCCACTGTATATATATATATATATATATATATATATATATTGATGAGAAATAATAGCACTACAATTATTTTATGAGATATAATAGCATTATGCGGTGCCAAAAAATAAATAAATATGGAACCTGTTCATGTTATGTTTATTTTATATATCTAGGTAATTCAATCTATGAAATAAAAAAAATAATAAAAATATGAGTATAATATAAAATGTTCATTAGATACTTAATTTGTATAATTTGTATATACTTGATTTGTACAAAACATCCCAACTTTTCTGTAATTGGGGTTGTGTGTGTGTGTGTGTGTGTGTGTGCGCGCGCGTGTGTGTGTGTATATACACAACCCCAATTCCATAAAAGTTGGGATGTTTTGTGACATTACATAAAATCAAGAAAATTGTATTTGTTCATTCTCTTTAACCTTTATTTAATTGACTAAAGTACAAAGAAAAATTTCCAATGTTTTCACTGGCCAACTTAATTTTCTTTTGTAAATATAAGCAAATTTTGATGGCTACAACACACTCCAAAAAAGTTGGGACAGAGGCATGTTTACCACTGTCAAATAACCTTTCCTTTTAAAATATACATTTTAATCATCTGGGAAATAAGGATGCTAATTTTTAAAGTTTTGCAAGCAAAATTTTTGCCCAGTCTCGCTTTATACAAGACTTTAGATGCCCAGAAGTCTGTGATCGTCGTTGTCTGATTCTCCTTTTCATGATGGGCCATACATTTTCAATAGGAGACAGATCTGCTGGCCAGTCAGTCACATCCACATGTGTCTACGAAACCACGCTGTTGTAGCACATGCAGAATGAGACCTGGCATTGTCTTGATCTAATAACCATGGACTTCCCATGAAAGATGTCATCTTGATGGCAGTATATGTCTCTGTACAATTCCAATATATGCCTCCATGTCAATGGTACCTTCGCACATATTTCAGTCACCCATGCCATTTGCTCTGCTGCACCCATATACTACGACAAACATTTGCTTTTGCACCTGTACTGAATGAAGTCTGGATGGTCCCTTTCGTCTTTGGGACTGACAGTTTGATGTCCGTTTTCCCAAAAAACAAGCTGAAATGTGGACTCATCTGACCACAGCACACATTTTCAGTCTTTTGGACAATCTAAAATGAGCTCGGGTGGGCCCAGAGAACTCGCTGGCGTCTTGATGCAAGTTGCATTTCTTGATGCAGCGACAGAGTGACAACATTTTTCCATAGTACTCCCGAGCCCATGTGGCTATATTTCACAGACCTGACCTATTGCCAATTCACCAGCTTATTGTGGACTGTGGTCTGTTCCAACTTGTGTGTTGCAGCCGTCAAAATAAAAAAAAAATGAAATAAAAAAATTGTTTATATTTACAAAATACATTTAAGTTGGTCAGTGAAAACATAATTGTACCTTTGTGAATTAAATGAAGGTTGAAGGCAGTTAACAAACCACAGATTCTTGATTTTATTGCATTTTACAAAAACGTCCCAACTTTTCTGGAATTAGCTTTTATTATATTTTTATATTTTAGTTTTAATTTCAGTTTTAGTTTTAGTAATTTGATGTTGTTTTGTCATTTTCGGTAGTTTATTTATGTTTATGTTATGAAATAGATTTTTTTTTTCATCTAATATCGAAAACTATTTTTAATAGTTTTAGTTAACAATAAAAACCTTGGTCCAAATTGTGTATGTATATTCAGGATTTTATTCCATATATTTTTATTCCATATAATACTTGTTTCCTATGTGGCGCCTTGTACTGCATATATCACATTGTAATGAATTTGTGTAGTCTATGTGTTCTACACACATATATGTGGGTTATAGAGAGAGATTCCTGTTCTCTGTAGACACAGCCCTTCCTCTCTCTTCACAAACACTCCTTGACCGTGTATTCCTCATAAACACACGTACGCGCTCATGCTGCCCACTCTGAGCACACTAGCTTCAGCTCCGCCACGTCTCTCTCATGTCTCTGTTTGTTCCTCTCTCTCCTTCTTTCTCTTCTGTCACTTTCCTCACGTATGTTTGACATCCTTCTGTGTACATGCTTTACTCTCCTCTTTCTTTCTTATTTATTCTGTCTTTTTCTTCCTTCTTTCGTTCATACTTGCATGGCTGCCTGTGTTCTACCACCCTACAATCTCTCTTTTCTTCATCTTGATTGATTTTCCTCATCCATACATGTGTTCCCCATTCTCCACTTCTCCTGCTTTTCTTTTCTACCCCTATATTCCCTATCCCTCTCCTCCCCTGTCTCTCTCTCTCTCTCTCTCTGTCTATCTCTAGCCCTCTGAATGTGTTGGGCTCTGTCCGCCACTCCTCCTCTTCTCTCTCCTCTCACACCTCCAGTGAGACGGGAAACCTGCTCATCCTGATGGACAGTATGATGGAGCACCCGGAGGACCTCTACCGCATGCAGGTGAGCTACATGCGCTCTTAATGCATACATATAGTGTGCAAGTTCACCCTAGTGACCAAACAAAACACCCTAGCATCCACTTTAGCACCCAAGTGTACATCTAGCAATATCCTAGTGCAGTGGTTCTCAATTCCTGTCCTCGCATATCACCGCTCTGCACATTTTGTATGTTTCTCTTATCGCTTCAGATGTTTTTTCTATTCAACCGTAAGTGCCCTGCGAAGTGGACATCACAGGATATTCCGCTATGATTCCAGTTCGAAGGGAGCATATATGTTCCATTCCAAGGGCATTAGAGTGTGCAAGACGTGAATTTAATTGTATTTATTTACAGAGGTATTTATTTACATATTAAGTCACTTCATTGGATTTCTCGTGCTCAGGGAGTAGGGAGCAAAGAACACTGTGTTAGGTTACAGTGTGGTTATCTGAATCAGGTGTGTTAAGAGAAAAATATGCAGAGCAGTCGTACACGAGGACTGGAATTGAGAAACATTGTCCTAGTGTAACCCCTCTGGTTCTACCCAACCCACTTCGAGTGGGGTTCAAACCAACTGCAGCCTTCACCCCCTAAATCTCACTCCCATCCGGGTCACGGCACCAATGTAATCTCTCTGGTTCTACTCAACCCGCTCAGAGTGGGATTCAAACCACCCTTTCCGGCATGGGAAGTGGGTGTGCTAACAAGGATGCTAAAGACTGCAACCTCTAGCGTCAGTCGCTAGTGCACCTATTCAGGCCAGGGAAGTGAGGTTTACCTGCATAACAACCTAGCCCTAGCAACCTCTTAGAAAACTCTAGCAACACCATAGTAACCACTTAGGACAGCCTAACAACTACCTGCAATGCCTTAGTTAGCAATGCCTTAGTTATCACCCAGAACACCATAGAAATCTAGCATCCACCTAGCAACATCTCAGCAACCAGCCACCACCTAGCCTAACAACAAAACAGAGCACCTTAGCATTTGCATAACAATGCCCTAGCACTGCTAACACTCTAATAAGCACCTACACTATCCTAGCAATGTCTTAATGTCTCATGTAAGCTAACACACAACCACCCATTACCTAGCAATACCCTAGCAAACCCTTCAGAAACAATCAAGCAACTGCCTAACTACATCCTAACATTGCTTTACCTAACATCTGCAAAGCAATATCCAAGCAACTGCCTAGCAACACCCTAGAAACCATGCAGCAACTATTAATTACCTGTTGACCTCTCAGAACACCCTAACATTTCCATAACAATACCCTAGCACCGCTTAACAACATCCTAGCAACCACCAATGACTTTCAACCTAACTACCGCTTAGCAATACCCTAGCAACCACCTTTAATAATCTAACGCCTGACACCGTGTCTACACCAGATTCAATTGGCACGACATGACAAAAGACAATAGAACCCATTATTATCAGTGATGCTGTCTACATCGTGCGACACGACACGACAAACCCCCAACAGTAAACTGATGTCTCGTTTTATTTATGACATGCTGAAACAAAGTACAGATGATTTGCAACGGTCGGTTTGTCACGTCCAGTATAGACAGCCTCTAGCTGTTGTGGCATGATGCGATGCAAGCAACAACGGTCACATCCAGTGTAGACACAGTGTTAGCATTAGCACCGCAGCAACCACCCATCACCTAGCAATACTCTATCAACCCCTCAGAACAAACTAGCAATTGCCTAACAACATCCTAGCACTACTTAGTAACAACCAAGCAACTGCCTAGCAACCACTCAGAACACCCTATCAACCTTGCATCCACATATTAGTGTCAACCACTTACAACTTAGCAATGCTGTAGCAATGCCTTAGAACACACTAAGATCTGGGTAACAGTGCTGTAGCATTGCTTAGCAACACCCTAGCAGCCACCAAGATCATCCATCCTAGCAACCACTCATAATATCCTAACAACGCCAGCATTAATGAACACTCATAATTAATCTACAACCACCCATCATCTATCAATACCCAAGCATTCTCTAAGAACCTAGAAACTGCTTAACAATATCCTGTCAGCACTTATTAACATCCTAGCAACCTCTCACAACACTCTAGCAACCACTTAACAATGTTCTAGTGATCACCCAGAACACTGCATCAATCTAGCATCCACCTAGCAATATTCTAGTACCCCACCACCTAGCAATTCACCGCTTAGCAACACCCTAGAAACCACCACGATCATCCAACCTAGCAATACCCTAGTAACCACCTATAATATCTTAGCAATGCCTTAGAATTAGTACACACTCATAGCAACCCAACAACCACCCATCACCTAGCAATACCCTAGCAACCTCTTATAACAACCTAGAAATGGAACCTGAGCAACTGCCTAGCAGCACCCTAGAAGCCACCTTTTAGAACAACCTAGCAACTGCCTTACAACATCCTAGCAACAACCAATCAACTGTCTAGCAACACTGTAGAAACCACTCACCACCAAACAACTCCCTGACAACTAGGGCTGCAAAGGAGTGGAAAAGTTCCAGGAAATTTCCAGAAACTTCCCAGAATCTTCAGAAACTTTCTAGGATTTTTTGGAAACTTTAAGAACATTTTGGGGAATTTTCAGAAACTTACTGGAAATTTTCCACCCTTTGCAACTTCTTAGAACACCCTAGCATCTGCACAACAACAAGAATACTGTATCTAATCCTTTAAAGTACTGTTTTCCTCCCAATGTAACATTTCAGCCCAGTCCATCATCGTCCAGTTTGAGCTCGACACATTCAGCTCCGTCTCAGATGATCAACTCAGGGCATGGCAGCATCAGAGGTAAGTGCCAATAAACTTTTCATAATAACTCCAGAGTGTTTCCCAACCAATGTTTGAGAGCTAATCTATTGTCGTTTGAACATTAACTTACCGTGGTGACAATCAGGAATCTTAGTGCTTCTAGCTTCACTCAAAAGAACAGCTCAGGTGAAATATGGCTTTTCTAGTCTCAACCTAAAACTTAGAGATGTTTTATTTACTTTCTCTCCAGTTGGGTCCCCATCACTACCTGACAGATACAGACACACCAGAGAGATGTTAATGCTCCTACCGCCGCACAGGGACCGTCCCAGCAGTGCCATGTACCCCAACATGACCGAGAACGGACAGGTACGTCTACCTCAAGACACAGCTAATTTGATTTTTTAAAATCCAGTAGACTATGCCAGAAAATTTGGTGAGATGATGGCAGAAATATAATATTAAAATACATATTTTTTTCTTTTTAATTTTTCACTAGCCTACTAACCATCAGAGGGCTCTTTACCATCAGGTTATTGGTCCCTGCAAACCCTGCAGTGACCCCAATATCTCTGTGGCTGATAAAGGTATGACTGGGTGTGTATGATTCTCTGAACCAACTGTACCCCTCTACTCCTTCACAGTCCCACATTTCCCTCAGATCAGGCAGAAATCCACAATACACACTGCATCCGAAATCGCATACTGTCTGAGCAGGTACTGCATTTGATGAAGAACTAACTTTGTGTCCGGTAGAAAGTATGTTCTATGTTGGATGGGTCTATGAATGCATGCTATCCGATCATTCAATCCAGAATACTAGTCCGTATGCATCACAGCTTCCCTTAATATTTGGAAACTGCACACAATCTGTTAAAATTCATGGTCGCTTCATTTTTAAAACTTAATTTTTGCTGTTGGCAAACCAAACCAATTCAAGCCAAAGTCTTTGAAGGGAAATTACTTTTCACTTTTAATAACATTTTCAGCCAACAAATATAAATGGTGAGTTTCAATGCTGGCCTAGGCTGGTTTGGAGCTGATGTAACTGGTTTATCAGCATAACCATGTGAATTACTAGTCTGGGGTGCGTTTACCAAAAGCAACTATGGTCGCAATTTCCGTCGTTACCAATAGAGTTCAGTGGAACGAACTACCATAGTTAGCTAACGATGCTTTTGGGAAACGCACCCCTGGTTAGTGCATGTTTAGCGGGTTCTCCAACTCAACATAACTGGTTCTTTGTGAATGTTTGGTAAGGAAGTCTTGTTTGTTAGTCTAGTTTAGCAGCTGGTTGGAAACACCAGCATCCAAACCCCAACATTTTAAGCAGGAATTCCTGAGGTATCTGACATTCAGATGAGGATCCAGCGGGTCAATAATGAAACCTGTATGTATAGTGATGGTGGTCTTTGTCCTTTCTGGCAGTGTTGACAGCTCCCAGCAGCTGGAGTTTGGACAGTGGCACCAGGGACACTCTGCCGTTCCTCTCTGCTCATGTCGGGAGTGTGATGGCGCCACCAGTTCCCCCCCGCACCCTCCCTCCCGGTAAGAATCAACGGTATCTTTGAGGAAAGGTTTCAGTGAAGAGAAAGACATTTCATGAAACCATTCCTTTTATGTTGTGTCATTAGTTATGTTGGATCTTCTACACATGATGAGGTGCCACTGTATGTCTGTTCAGCTACACAAGCTGATTTGACAAATGTTTGGAATGCATATCTGCCAAGGTGTGCATAGACTATTTGGAGGAATTTATGAAAACATGAAGCCAATAGAGTTAAGAAATCTAAGAAATGAAAAGGTGCCTAATTAAAATATTTGCTACATTGTTAAATTTTGTAGTGGAATCTTTATTAAATTGGACTTGGCTTCGTTAAATATCCTCCTGTTGCTGCATCTTGAGGCACATAGTTGAATCGCATCTCTAAGCTTAAATGCATTTATAGAAGCAAATGGGTGGTTGACAAATAAAAAATTGTACACACACATTGTTTTTTACACATTGTTCACTATTTAAATATTTTGTCTTATTTTATTTTAAAATGCACATGCCAGTAATTTATAGGAAAAAAGACAAGAAAAAATACTAGGGGGTGGGGGGGTATTGCTATTGCCATTTTGTTTGATTACAGTAATATTACACATCACATCAACTACGCAAATGTAGCATACTCCCTTTCACCCACCCTACATTGGACATGTGGCATCCTGTCTTTCTTTTAAAAAGTTTTTCCCACATTTGATCATTTGCTGATCCATTGCTCCCCATTCACTCTTTCCCACCCATTATTCTCCTCTGAACATCAGCCAAGTTCAGAAAGAATCCTTCCTAGTGCTTGCTGAGTGAATGCGCATGTCGACGTGTGTTTGCGCGCAAGTGTGTACCGGCGTGTGCTCTTTCCAACCCTGGTTCTGTCCAACTGTGTCTCCCCTTTAGGACACTTCTCGATGCACTTTGATGCTTTCCACCACCAGATCAACGAACTCCCTCCAGCTCTCCCCACGCGCTCTTTAAGAAAGGTATCCTCCACCTAGATGTGTCCTGTTAGTCCTCGTCATGCATGCCCGCACTAGCATTCTGAGATGTCTTACGGCCTGTTGACCTCAGATGTCCCCCAGTCAAAACACCCTGAGCTGAACTGTACTTGAGTCTGGTTTGGGATATTTTTTGGTGTTTGGGAGTTGGGAGTTTTTGGTGTCCCTAAGATGCTAAAGTGTTTTGGGTTCATATTGTAATTGTTTCATATGCATTTGTATACTGTATGTATGCATAAGTAGTGCAATTTTTGTGTGTCTGTGTATGTATGTTGTTGGGTTGTATTTTCTCTGGAGATCAGTAGGATGAAAATTTGTAAAAATTACATTTGTACGTTTTAGTCATCCAGCAAATTATACCAAGCGAATTAGAAAAAAAAGAACAAAAGCAATCTGTCAAGAGCCAACAATATTCATAATATATAGTGCCAGGTTTATTAGACACATAGATGGGGAAGGAATCTAAATTAAAAAGTTAAAATGGAAAAAAAATTTAAATGTTTTGAGAATAAAAAAAAAATGTTATTGTACTGTAAAATATTAAGTCACAGTTAGAAGGTACACTTCAGCTCTGATTGTGGCTTTAAGAAAGAGGTGTTCAATACTGCTCCTGGAGATCTACTTTTAATCCAAATTTGATAAATATTCCCGGAAGGAGCCAAACAAGGTATTTGGGTTTATTTGGCTGTGTTGCTTACTGTGTTCACTGCTGATGTTGGGAAAGGCCATACTTCTGAGCAAACATGTTTGCAAGTCTCTAATATACAGTATCAAATCATTTTTGAATTTGTGAATAGATTTCAGTCATGGCAACTCTCGGGATAGATTGTAAAATCTTTATTAATGTAAATAGAATGTGCATAGGTTTGGTATTGATGGACTAGATCTCTTATGCTGCTGCAGAGCAAGTAGACTTGCTTCTGCTAAATGCTTGGATCATAAAATTAAAAGAAAACATGTTTTTGCTGCTAGAGAAAGGAAGATCCCCCTGCAGCAGATTTAGGCAGGTGGTGCTGGGGAGGCGGAGGGGTAAGATGAGGACATGCATAGCACACAGCTAGTTAGAATGTGAATAGAGATTCATGGCTAAACTATTCATTTCTAATGCAGGTTAGTAGACAAGTTCACCCTCATAATACTAAGGTTGAGTGAATGATGACAGAATTTTCAATTTTCTATGAACTATTCCTGGAAGTTCATGGAAAGATAAACAAGTGTGATTGACCATGGGTGGAACTAAAGTGTGCATAAAGATAGTTCTCCAGGAGGTAGGTTGAGCACCCTTGCTTTTAGGTCTTACTAATGTCATCCTACTGGTCTTTAGTTTTAACACTGCAACAGATAAGGTCTTCATGCAACATATTGTATATAAACACCTTGTTTACCTTTCCTCACCAGTCACCCCTGCACCCTATACCTGCCTCACCCACCAGTCCACAATCGGGCCTGGATGGCAGTAACTCCACCTTGTCTGGCAGCGCCAGCAGTGGCGTCTCCTCCTTGAGCGAGAGCAACTTCGCCCAGTCCTCCTCTGAGCCTCCAGCTCGAGCTGACACCTTGGACTCGATGCCAAACAGCCAGGCCTGGACCACGGACACGGAGGAAGCCGAGAGTCCCTACCTCCCTGTACACTACAGCATCTCCGAGCCTGAAGTTCTGGACCCTCTCAAGCCCACTCCTTGCCGTAGTCACTCAGCCCCACTGGGCGTAACCCCAGGGATGCCCACTGACGGACACCATCATCACCTCCATCTCCACCATCACCACCCACATGCAATACACATCACCCACCCACACTACCACCACCATGAGCCTGCACCTGCTCTGCCTCCCAAACCTTACCTGAGGGAAGGGTGTATCCCTGAAGAGGACCTGAGGCCGGTTCCAAGGCCAATGCCCCGCAAGATCTCCCAGCCTCTGCTAACGAACAAGGAGGAGCAGGCCAAGGTGGCCTGGGAACACGGCATCAGTAAAGAGTAGGTTCAGCTTGGACTGTTGGCTTTGGTGTCATAGGTGGTTGGGTTTTGGGAAAGTCCCAAGAAATGACTGGGTTTGAACCTCTACTCTACATCTCATGTATCCAGTATAGGTCTTTGAAACCTTTCAAGAAGTGCTTGATATGTTGCTGAGCTTCTACATGCTTGTGAGACTTTTTGTTTTGTGCTTAGCGGTTGTTGATTGGGAGTTGCCCAGGAACCTTGAGTTCAAACTGCTTGTAGAGCCCAAGCTACTTCCCCTCATTAGTATCAGTATATTGATTGGATAATGCAGATATGGTAAGAATCCCGAAAGTTGTAAAGGTACAAAAACAGAATTTCAGATGAAACAGGAAGCACAAAATCAGATTAAGGTGGTTTTCAGGTGTACCAGATCCAAGCGTTTCATGTCTTCAAAGATAGATACACCTCTTGTCAAGGTCTACAACTTGTTAACACTTCATAGTAGGGCTGCACGATTAATCGCATGCGATATTTAACGCGCATCTTGTCAGAAAGCCGGGTCTGTAATCAGCGTAAATCTCCATCACCTGCGGGCTTTCACATTGAGCAGCATTAACTACACAGAGCCGTTGTTCACTGACGAGCTGCGCTAAACCACGTTCATATTAGCGCGATTTTTTGCGCTTCTCATCAGTGAACAACGGCTCTGTGTAGTTAATGCTGCTCAATGTGAAAGCACGCAGGTGATGGAGATTTACCGCTGATTACAGAACCGGCT